TCATTTTTTATAATCAAATTAGTTTCCAACCTAGTTTACAAAGTGTTGAGCAAACCTTTTTTCATCACATATATTCTATATACTTCTTTAATTTAACATCATATTTGTGTATATACATATATATGTGATAGAAAAAAAATCTTTATGAATATAAAGTGTGGTATTTTATTTCTCTTTATAGCAGAAACATATGAATAATTAAATTTTCAATTTTTTGATTTTAATTTCAATTTCTTTCATCCGTCTTGACATAATGATACGTATATAATTGAAACCCACTTGCACCTTTCAAATAAAAGTCTATACTTGTCCATAAATATTGTATGTTTCTAGATTTTAACACAATGTGTAATGTTTTTAATCTTTAGTTGATTTTTATTATGTTTATTACCATATTATGAAAAATCACATTATTAAAACCTAATTTAACATCTTTTATATTTTAACTTAAGAGATGATATTATTTAATTGTGACTATTAAATCTGATTTTGATAATAAACAAAATACTAATATTAAAGTAATTTGAATATATATATATTCACATATATTCATTAAAACTCTTAATTATATTAGTTATATATATATTGTAAAACGAAATGTTCTTATTATTTAAAACTAATTCAAAAAAGTTTTAGAAATTCAAACTAAAATTTTATAAAAACTAAATATTAAAGTTTACTATACAACTCAAGTTTATATTCTGAATTTGAAAATTTTAAACTCAATACAAACATGTTTTTAATATGAATATATAGTTATATACAGAATAATAAATCACCTGTAATACTATATAGTAGATGTTTTACAAAATTATTGTAATTTATAAATAGAAAGCGCAACTATTGAAGAGTTTAGTCAACTGTAGGTGTGTGTGTGTGTGTATATATATATATATATATATAGGAAATCGTTAAATCAACCCAAGCATTTATTAAATTGACCTACCCATCAACCATTTTTTTGTTGGTTTTTGACCAATGCAGATTTAGTACTGGAGGATTTTTTAATGATGGTTAGGATGATTTAGTAAATACTTGTGTCAATTTATAAATTCCTTATATATATATATATATATATATATATATATATATTGTTTATTAAAATGTCAATGTTTCATTCTTTATGATTTGATGCTGAATTTTCTTCTGTTTAACATGTAAATTATACTACCTCAATTCAATCAGACTTTCAATGGAGCTAATATATTTTAACATGTATTCACAGAAAAGTATTAATCTGATTAAAAGGATACACAAAACTGTTTGTAATACTTCATAAATTGATACATGTGCAATTATTTCACTGTATCATCAACTAATCGAGACACCAAAGGTGCAATTTCCAGTATTAGAAACCATAATACCCACCACAAAGAATTAAACAAACAATTATTTTATGCTTGGCAAACGTGGATGCAGTATTAAAAGACTTCAAATTTTAGCGGCTGCAATGCATCAAGTTCCAACCTCATTGCAAAAAATAATTGTTTAATTATCGTATTTAATGAGGGTTGAATAACTTCTTTTAAAACAAAAACATCTTTCAATTATTTTTTGGGGGAGTGTTTCGAAGTGTAAGATTGTAAGCAAGGATTTGGCATGTAAATGAACCTGAACTACTACAAATGTGTCAGTTGGATATTTTGCAATGCCCGTAGTTGAGAGAGCCTCTTCTGAAAGGAACTCTTGAGACCTATTTTTGAGGATTTTTGCTTAATGTCATATTTGATGAAGTTAGTGGACTTTTTGAAGGAGCACATTAAAAAAAGGAAATAAAATCCACATTTGTCCCACGTTTTTGCGCACGCGGCCTACCAAATAATAGGTAAACAGTTTACGCACATGTTTAATATACTGAATGAAAATAACAAATAAAAATAGTAATAAATAATTTGAAGGAATAAAGGATTAAAAAAGGAATACATAGTGTGATTAAAATGCCCTAAATATGCTCTCGGAATGTTTCACTAGCTTCATACTTATGGCATAACTAGTGTTGAAACCTGAGCTTTATATTTATCTGAAAATTGATTCTTTCAAATTTCAACTATACTTAAAAGTTATTGAGTTTTATATTATTTTTTTCTTAGAAAAAGTGATCATTTTTATACAAGGGGTATCATTATGATAGATTCTACACTAGTTAGTTTAGAATACAGCACTTTGGTTGGTTTTGAGTGCATTTGGTTTGAAATTCCAAAACTTGGTTTTTGTTTGAACAATCGTTTTGGTGGATCCCGCGGAGCTTACACACTGAAATCAGTTGCAGGGCTTTTATTGCAAGGAATCTGCCAATTACTGTTAGTTGTTGTCCTGTCTCACACTGCGGATGTTTCCACAGCAAATGTACAATAGTAGTAAGTTGTGTTGGATATATTCGATTGTAACGATGAAGATTCCGTTGATATATTTTTTTTGTTTGTTAATGTTGACAAATAAATAGCACGGAGCGACAGAACTTTACTCGAACATGATTGTGCTATTTTAAGACGGGTTTTAGTGTTGTTTATTTCCAGCAAGATTTCAACTTCCGTGTTGGGACTGTCATAAATAGAATTACCTAGTGCACTCGTATAAATGTGTGTAAGTGTGTGTGTATATATCTATTCTTGTGTCTCGAAACACGTAACAATAACATGGCTGGGATATTATAATAACACTGTATAGTTCAAACTGATGGCGACAATGATATTGATATATTTATTTCTATTGTTATACAGACGGTTTTAATCAATAAATCATTTGATCCACGTTTTGTGAAATAATTGTGGTATGATGGATTATGCGTCAGACATGTGATCACCTCAATCCAAAAATACATTTATTCTCATACAAGTCATGCACTGCAAACCAAAGCATCAGATAGCAAGTTTTCTTTTAATTTGTGAACCAAACAGAGTTTTATATGTTTGGAGAACAATAATTATACAAGTGGATAATAATATCATGTTTGAGAATAAACAAAATATTCGTATATTATGTGTAGAAAAATTACTTATTTGAGTTCTAGAATTAAGAGACGTGAATAAATAATAGATGACGTTTTCAGAACAAGGTTTTTTATGTTTTTTGAATTTGTTTCTTTATTTACTCTAGAACACAATCATGGATTCAAATCTAATGATGATCGAATAAGCAAATAAAGTTTTAGAATCATTTTATATAAATAAAACATATTTATTTTTACTTATATGATCAACAACACTCAAATCTTCTTCCCAGTTGATTATTAATTATTAAGGATCTTGACCTTGTTGGATAGAGAATCAGTCTTCTGAGATTGCTTGTGGTGGCCAAGACGAGCTTTTGATTGATTTAATATTTCACTATTAATACACTACAATGTGTTAATTACACGTATTTTAATAATTAATTTGTGACAGATTCAATAATTTGTAACTTTAAATGATGTAATCTATGTGTAAGTAATTGTTAAACCAGTATATTATTGTGAATATGAAAATTAAAAATTCAATCTTTTCTTTTAAGTAATAACGTAAATGATTTATTTTTTTAGGTGCATTAAGTTTGGTGGTCGTGTGAAAAAGTCTAAAAGTAAGAATCACTATGGCAAAAGATAATTACTAAAAAACATTGCTCTTACAAAACACAAAAAGTATGATACTGTGTTATATTGAGGGACTGCAAAAGATTGTAAAACATAAAGAAAGAAAGAAAGAAAAGTAAATGCATGTAACAAATTATAATCTCAAAATACAGTCATAATCTTACTTCAATACAAACTATGAAGAGAGAGGTCATAGCCATATCATGGTTCCGATTGAGCACAACACAACATCCCAACAAATTCTCAGCGCATAGCAATTTTCCAACCATACAAAGTGGTACTAACATTATGAAACCATAAAGCATGATATGCATTTTTTTGAAACTGTAGGCATTGTGATGTAACAACAATCACTCTCATCTGGAGATATCCATACACAACTATACAACAGTTTATAAATGTGTGTATATATATATATATATATATATTCATGTGTGTATATGTATAAATATCCACATATCCACACAAACAGACGAAACTTCAGTGTTGACCTCAGGAACAACCCACATCTTCAACCCATGTCATCAACCGAAGTCCGAGCAGAAGACTTGACAAAGTGCTAGGAAGCTACAGCAGGCATACCGTGAAAATGCTTCCGTGCACACCAGAAATCACAAAATGCACCGCCTCGGAGTGTGTCCACATGCTACTGATTGCAGTTGGTGTGTCAACCTCGTCGCGTAGTTCTAGTTACGCAGTAAGCGAGGATTTCTTTAAGTTGGGGAGTAAATATGGGCAGGGAATCCGGAAACGTGTTGCCGCTGGCTCGATACATCGGCTGGACCCAGTAGCCAGTGGGGGTTTTAGGTTCCAGTGGAGTGTGGAGGTGTTTCTGTTGCGGCAAAAAACAACGATGCATGGAGTTGGTACTGCAAAGTTGGTTGTTGTCTTCAGGTATATGCGTTCCAGGTGGGTGAGGATCCATATTCTCAAGCATTGACTCAGTTTTAGGGATGCATAGATCGTACGAGAGAGGGTGGTACATGGTTTTACTGCAGAGAACCTCGGCATTCAGGTCCCATGCAGTGTGGGACGGGCTTGTTCCGGTTGCAACACATGCATAGGTTTGCGACGTCGGGAACCCTTCAAAATAGTTGGGAAAAGCTCCGGGGGGATAATAGGTCCGAACAACAGGTCGTCGATAGCCTAAACGGTGGGGGCGGCGACATCAACGGAGTTGGTCAAATCTGTTTACTACTGCGTGTTGTGGCTGACCTTTTGACCAAACCTACAACCTGAAAGATTCTGTTCGGTGATCCATCGGCGACATCGGGTTATAGAAAATTTGCGGTAAATGACGACATAAGACGCGCCAAGTCCACTTGTATTCGTCCACAAAGTCTTAACTTAAACCGTGGGGGTTGCCAGAATGCTAATAATACTGTATTTAATTACTGATTAAATGCACGAGAAGTGCCGCGAGGACTGAAATTGGAAAGCAGAGGTCGTTGGCAGCCCCGTGACCAAAGTCGGGGCGACAATCGGGTCTTGACCGGACTTCCGTCGCAGCAGTGCATCTCAGCTGGAAACAGAAACATGATCGGAATGGTCAAGTTTTCTTGGGAAAAAAGCAGCACTTGTTAAATGTTTTATGAATCCAAGGAGTCGCCTACAGCACCTCCTTCAGGCACATCGTCCATTTTTAATGATTAAGGAACAAGTTTCCTGACAATAAGCTCGAATTTGGAGTGGTTCCCACTATCATCTGGTAAAATTATATGTTGGATGGCGCCGAGGATTGAGAACAAAACAGGAACAAAGTGATGTACAAATGTGTGCATATTCCCATGGTGGTCACGACCAGCCTGTATCGGAGCTTGGCTGACCGCGGCAAGGTAGCCTCGACGCATACCTACTCTCATCTTAACGGTCGTCAATTGTGGTCATTGGTTTCGATGCCTCACAGTTGTGCTTCAGGGCGTTGTCATGACCCGGGCTGCAGCGATTTGAGGGTGCTGAGGTGAGAGCGGGAATCTTAACCTTTTGTTTTTTTGCAAGCGGGGAGTACTTCTGAGAGTAGCAGTTTTCCAGTTGCAGTTTTTCGAACGGTGCGGATTGCGCTGCAGCAGCTGGGACAGACGGGGCGCAACTATGTGACTGATCCGTGAAGGGGATTGGGTGGGCATTCTGAGTCGCTGAGGTCGGAATCATGCTGAGCGGGTCCACGAATATCGTCAAGAGGAATTACCTGCAAGTAAGAAGGCAGGGTGTCGTGCAGGGGTACCAGGCATTGTAGTGCCAGATCAGTTGAAAGATTGGAGATATGTGCTCCCTGCGTCCTTTCCTTATCGGCACCATTGACGCTGTGTTGAATAGATCTGGAAAAGCCTTCAATGGAGTGCTGCGCATGAAAAGGATGTCAAATTTGCAGAAGGTTTAATTAGGTTTACAGCTCATGGGTCGGCGATTAACTGTCAAGAAACGATCTTCCTTGCTTGATAGCAGATATCTTTCAGGGTTGTTTTCGGGTGCTTTTTTCTGAGAGTTCTTACATTCGATTCTCTGCAGGGTATAGGGCAACTATACCTGGTATCTGGTGATGAATCGAAGTCGATAATCGGATCAGTAGCTGATTAATCGTGCAGGAGGCGCTGGAAACCTGGAGGTTACGTGCAGAGGAAACGCGTGATATTGTTCGAAGCGATTGAACCATGCAGTTGAGCACGTACAGTCACAGGTATGATTCTCCTCCGTCAGAATCGTCTTCATCTATCAGTAAACCCTGTAGACCCAAAATTTGATTGATCGCCTTTGTGAACGCCGCACCGTCTGGCAATTAGGCTCCAATTTGTTCGAATATTCATGTGAGAAGGCGTCACAGGCATTTTCCAGTGAACCTCTAATCTCACAGCGCAACCTGCGTTTGTATGCTTCGGTTACTTTTTCTGATCTGTCTTTCCTCGGGAAATGCTGCTCGTGACGCTTGAGTCCTCGCGAAACATTCAAGTTTTTTTCATTGGAGTGTCAAGTGTTGTAGAGCTCTTCATTCCACATTGCCTTGAAAATGAACTTTATATTCTCGTCCCCTCTCATACAGTCACTGGAGACAAATATGTCACTGCTACTCTGTCTCATTTGCATTGTATTTTTCATATTGTTTTAAGAAGTTAATACCAACTGGCGAAAACGTGTTGCAGTGCCAAAATAACTATTATCGCATCGCTTTGAATTCAGCAGATAAATACTTCGGGGTCAACTTCAACATCACTCATCGCAACCAACGGAGTGTAGTCTTCAGAAGTAAGCGCTTGTATCGTCATGAATTGCGGATTCGAACAAAGTGCACTGATGAGTCCTCACAGTGGCAGCCCTCCCAAAAGGGCCTCATTATCGAGGAACATCTTTCGTCGACAGAATTTCATCCTGGCTCTTCCAACGATACTGCTCTTGTATTTGCTAGGAGTAGCAATCACATTCATGGTGTGCGTGCGCACTTTCAGAGCATTCAACATCTACCGCCCTGCATACCAAGAACCCTTGCAGCTCTTCCGCTTCAACACCATGAACTTCCCTTGGCGAGAATCTTTGACAGCAGTGCACGAGAACGAATATCCGGATGTTCTGCGGGAGCCTCGAGCTCGAGCACGCGCGCTGCAGGCTGGGCAAGGCGTGGATTCGGTGAACTCCAACCTGGAGATTTTGCTAGATCCCAACGAGCCCGACTTCATGCACATACCTACTCAACCGATGAACATGGACAAGACTGACTCTTTGCAGGTGAGTTTGAGGAAAATGACCACCTTCGAACGGAAGAGTTGGTTGAGAGATAACTGGGACAACTTCCAAATTCTGAAACTGGATAACCGTTCCGATCAGTTCGAAGACCGAATGCGGCGATTTCTTTGTGGTGAAAGTGACAATGTTATGAACTCACAGACTCGCCGGTTGTTGATGGCGTCGAATTCGTCATCTGAATCCAACGTCACTGATGACACCTTGATGCCGGTTGAGGCCATGAACAATATTGATGAGCAGAGAATATGTCAAAAGGAGGGGAACGATGAAAAGGGCAACTTCTGTACTAAACGCTTCTTCATAACATGGATGTCACCTGTAAGTTCTTTCGGTCCCCGAGAGCGACTTGGTCTGCAAAGCATCTTTAAGTGGCACCCACATGCCTGTGTTGTGATACTTTCGAGGACAATGGATTCTGACGAAGGTCAAATTATTCTGGAGCCGTTTATCGAGAGAGGTTACAGAATCATGGCCGTGACACCCAACGTTATTTCTCTCTTCGAGAACTTACCTGCAGGGGAATGGTTTAAACAACAACGAGATGGAACTGGTGATCCTGGCTGCATCAACTTCATGCAAAACATGTCCAACATCATGCGTCTTACGGTGCTTTACAAATACGGGGGTATCTACCTTGACAGTGACGTGATTGTCCTGAAATCTTTTGACGGGCTCAGGAATGTCGTTGGAGCGCAGAGCAGGAGCATTGCAGTTGGAGAATGGACCAGACTCAACAACGCCGTGCTGGTGTTCGATAGAGAACATCCAGTGGTGTACGAGTTTCTTCGTGAGTTTGTGGCCACTTTTGATGGCAGCAAATGGGGATGGAATGGGCCTTACCTTGTAACCAGAGTGCTGCAGAAGGTGAAAGAACAGCAATGGCAGAATTGCTCCTCTGTCTCAGTCCTACCATTGGAAGCTTTCTACCCCCTCAACTGGGTCGACATTGTTGCTTTTTTTCATGCCCATTCCGAGCATGATCAGAGGTGGCAGGTAGTTCATCAACCTAGATTTATTTGAAATGCAATTAAAATCTGCGTAAACTGTTCATTCAATATGGAGAATGTTTCAATTTTTGCACAAACTAATGAGTTGGGTTGTACCTTGCATGATAGGAAAAAAAATTGGAGGTGATGAATCAAAAATCGTACGCCATCCACCTTTGGAACAAGAAGTCCTCCCATTTGAGAGTGGAAAAAGGAAGCATCCTGGAATCAATGTTCAAGAGATCATGTCTATTCTGCAACGGCACAGCATCTTAATCGACATTTCGAGCCGTCTTTCTTCCGTCTCATCTCTCGGTTCCCACGATGGTTGCAGGTCTGGGAATCTGCCTGGCACATGAACCAGTTTTGGGGAATAGTAATTGGATATAAATGTCCATTGAGCTTTTGTGAACGCGTCATTTACACGGCATCTGTACAAAAGAAGCACTTCTAGACTACGTGAGTCCCATCGTTTCCCCAATACTGAAATTGGAATATGAATCAGTATTCCGAGTAGGTTTAGTGACGTGGTCACAGAATTCCTTGCGAGTTTTTGTTGAAGTGAAAATTTGTGCGTGGTGATGATTGTATCAGAAGCGTTTTCTCATACAGTCATCCCGTACCTCGATTCGAACAGTGCAAACTTAGGGTTTCATACTCTACACTTACTCACTGCTGGTGAAGCTTGTAGAATGGGAAGCCCAAGCCTTGCGAGTTGCAGATCTGCATGTCAATCCATTATAATTCACATCGACAAGACTATCTCGAGAAATGATATGGAGTCGTAGTAAGAACAAGCTGAGCGCTCATTTGTGCCGCTTCCTCTTGTTGCCTTCATTTTACAGAGGCATTTGAAATTTTCCATATTGTCTAATGCACTAACAGTGTAATATTACTCTCTCCGCGTCTGTTACAACACCATCTCCATATCTTGAGTTTAAGCAATTCTGGCATTTAGACTGAGCGCGATATTTTTTTTTTCAGTAAAGACAAATCACAAACCCTGTGGTACTTGAATTAGCAACCGAAACCTTGAATTTAATGTTGAGTATTATTTCTATAAGCTCCAAGCAATCCAGCAACATTACGAACAAAATTCCTTTCTCAACAGTAGCAAATCCACCTCTTGGTTCACTTGTTTTTACGGAATTAATGTGACCACTGACAAGGTAAGGAGAACGTAACTGAAACAAATCTTCACGAAACTAGTTCATGACCATGAGAAAATATCACACACGTTCATCTGTTCCAAATTCAGCTCCTCCTGCGATCGACTCTTGTGTTATCCTTCCAGATCCTGACAGTGTGATTTGTGGGACAACTTTCGGTAAGTTTCCTTGGGTGTCATCTGTTTCCAATAATAAAAGCAGCCACCAATCCAAAGGTCAAAATAAATCAACCTCCAACAATCCTTGGAAGACTTCAAATGTAGTCAAATTGTCAGTAAACGAATTGCAGGCAGGAAAATTAAAGTTAAATGTGTTCATACACTGAAGATCTTGTAGAATCGGGCATTGAGAAAGTAGCGATCACCGCGTAGTTGAGATGTGGGCGTCGACTCACATGTGGGCATACTAATTGAGCTTTTAAGTAAATTTCTTATAATTCCATACACTGGAAGCAAAGTAAAGAACCCACAAATTGTCCGACCAAATTCATCAAAACAATTCAGACGAATCTCTCGTTGACAAAAGATATTATTTGAATCGTTCACAGTCCCAAGTAGTATTCTCCTTGTCTTTCACCTTCCTCCACTCAATAAACTATTTCCTTCAAGGATGCTTTTACTAACTGCAATTGTGGAGCGCCAGCCAATCCCTTCTCTCCTGACACTTCACTTCCTCTAGAGAATGCTCTTCCATCTCTGGAATTTACTTTGTATCCATCACCTCTTTGTCGTCGAGTTCTGTCTATCCTACTTTACAAATTGTCAGTGTTTTGTCTACATGAGAATCTATTTCTTCCTCGTCTTCCCCTCCTAGGCACTGCTATAATTCATGGTGTAGAATAGTAGGACTAAAATTCTAATTGACTAAGGCTTTTCAATTGACAACCAATATAATGTGGGTATAATCGGATAGACAACGTGCACGGATTTCACCATTTTGCTTGATAAGATCATCGACCATGACTTACCAGATAATATGCTGACCTCAGTGTTGACAAAGACCTTTCATATCTGACAACACCTTCAAAAATGAGTGCGTAACACAAGTAGACTAATAAATATTATAATATCAGTAAATGACTTGAAACCAGTTTGACATCCATTTAATTGTAGACTGTGACAGAATTCGCAAGCATGACAAAAAGCAAACTTTACTTCCTCATCATTGCCATCCCCTTGAGATTGAGGCAGTTCCTGATTTGCAATTGGAGATGACCAGGGTTACTTTTAGCATACAGATACTCACTTCAACCACACTATATTTCGACTGATTTCTACCTATATGTCCAAATTACAACGTTCTTCAAAGTTGTATTACATAAGCGGTTCTATTGTGATTGCAAAACATGCCATAATGTCCTTAGATAGTTGAAAACAAACATAATGGCTCTCTGCTCATTGCGATGCCGCCAAGCTGCAAACATCCTAAGCAGCACAATATACTGAGTGCAGAGCGTCAATACCAGCTAAACGAGCAGCATTGGCTTGCGAATCAGCAGCGTTTTCAGCCAGATTTTTTAAGACCGCTTGTTGCGCTGCTTGGAAAGACTCATCTTCATCCGAACGAATGATAGTATCCTTCTATCTTATCAACATCCAAGCTTTTGGCTTCGTTTTATTACTTCAATATTCTAAGATCATCCTCTTCTTTACCCGAAGTATTCTCAGACAGCTCTCTTTGAGCGGCATCTGCTGCTATCATTGCTTGGAGTATGGAACGTGTCTTAAATAAAAATTCTACATGAAAGCCTGCAAATTCGAGATGCCTGTGCAGAATCAGCCAAAAAGTGCGCATTACTCTAAAACTCCACCTTATAGTTCTTCCAACAAAATACAAAACATTTCTAATATCAAACGTTTCCAAGTTGGTCAACATTGACAAGATTAATGCTACACATTCTTTTGGATATAGAATAAGCACATCTTGTAATTTTCTTTGTGCTTCTCTATCAACTCCCCTCAATCCATCCAAGATAACATCCTAATGCTACTATGCATCAAGTTGGTTTCACCAATACTACAAACAATATTTACAAACTATAAAACACAAGTTTATGATTGTCATCTTCACAAATGTCTGTTGTTTATTGAAGCTTTTTGGAACTCAAAAAAAACACCTATTGGGTCTAGTGTTATATATAAATGAAGGAATTGTTGGAACCTATCCATTCCACACCTCATGATGGAAATGACACATTATTAATACATTATCAAAGTAAAAGTAATCATATAAATTATGCAACTTAAAAGTATAAAAAATTGTACAAAAAAATAGTATATAAATGATACTTTTAGTTATAATCACTCTTTATAAATCATTAGCTAGAATCATTCTAAAACAATGTTTGATGCAAGTAGATAAGCACTTTTCATGTATATAATCAATATTGAGTTCATGAGTGTTGATAAGATAGTCTTTTTACTTTTACAAATGAATTCTACATATTATAGAATGTATTTAGTTTAATATAGTTTTGAATGTAAGTATTTTTCAGTTTCAATATGGTATTAGAGCCTGGCTATCTAGTACAAAACTAATGAATAGGAAATTAGAGTCTGGAGTGACATGCTCTTTTTTTGAGCAATTGAAAAGATGGCTGGGAAGCACTCAAAAGGAGTGGAGGTTGAAGGGATGATTGAAGTTCTTCTTATGATATGAGTCATCAAAGTAAAGTCAAAGAAAAAACCATTTATTCACAATAAAATAGATCAATTTCTTTATTAACTCAAGTCCATACTTGCATTTTTTTAATCATTATTTTTTATTAGCAAAAATTTATATAAGATTCATAAAATATTTTCTTGTGAATCTACTAGCATGATATTAGAAGACACTTTCTTTATTACTGATTTAAAAAAACTTGAAGGAAATTTGAATAATAATATATGAAAAATCAAGATATAAATGATCTTGAAAGAGAAGAAGCTTTGGTACTATGTCTATCTGGAGGAAGCCAAAATTGTGATTAAACTTAGTAAAATTTCATCTGAGATAGAACAAGGAAGAAAAGACAAGGTATTAACACTCTTTGTTCTTTTGCTTAAAAACAATGTTTTTTTAATCATGTTTTAGACAACAAAGATCCAAGAGTATGTTGAGACAAATTAAAAAATATTTTTCAAGCTTCAAAAAAAGCAAGAGTACTCCACCTCAACAACAAACTTAGAAACATTAAGATGACTTGGAATACAACTATAGAAGAATTCATCAAAAGCATAAAGAAGCTAGTTATACAACTTTAAAGAGTTAATGAAGTAGTGATCAATACTAGAGTTGTCCAAATTGTCTTAAGAGGACTATCTAAAAGCTATGATACATTTGTTTAGGCGATACTGTGTCAAAATAATTTGCCCAACTTTGAAAAGCTTTGTGGCAGACTTCTATAAGAGGAAGCAATGTAGTAGGCAAAGAAAATGTATTATTTGAATATGATGAAGAAATAAAGCAAATTAAGAATACCTAGAATAACAAAGAACTTATTATCAATTAGAAGTATCATCACTAATCAAAGAAGTATTGTCAAATTTGAATTAATGCATTATCACATTATAAGTGTAATAGATCCAAGTAAGCCTCTAGCTAGAGGCAGAAGAGACCTCACCAATGGGCTATAGAGTAAGGTTATTAACACAACAATGTACTTGATTAACAAATGTTCTTTGAGAAGCAATAGAGGACTTATCCTTAAAGAAATGTATATTGGATGCAAACCCAATGTCATCCACCTTAAAGTCTTTAGATCACTTATATACATACACATACGAGAGAATCAGAGAAACAAATTGCAGTCTAAAATCATTTGACATATTTTCTTAGGATATGGTTCATTTATATAAGCCTATTGATTATTTAGTCTAAAAGATAGGAAGATTATTATAAGCAGGATGTTGTTATTTATGAAAAAATCTTAGAACTTAGCACAATCATAGAATTTATTATTAGAGAAGAAAACATACTTAATGGTTTGTTTGAGATGATGTCAATAGAATAGGTACTTAGTCCAAAATGCCATCTTAGAATACAATAGAAATGCCCATGTTGTGTACACAACAACCATCGTTGAATGAGATATCAACACTGCTGATTAAAAGATTGACATGAATAAGAACAACACCAACAAATTTGAAAGACTACATTTATACACTTGAATTTACAAAACTTGAGTCTTATAAAGAAGCAAAGGAAGTATTGTATAGATGTAAAGTAAAAAATCATAAATATGTAATCTTTATATGTATGTATGTATATATATATATATATATATATATATATATAAAGCTCTAGCTATAAACATACAGATAAATTGTACAATATCAAAGTGTAAATAATTTTTTGGATATTACTAAAATTAGTGATATAAAGAAAATATTTTATTATTTTTAACTTATATACAAAATATTTATTTTGTATTCACATAATAAATTTAAAAGAATTACATAAAAAGAAGTAGTAGAATGCTTCTTATCTTATATTATAGAAAATAAAAAGATTTTAATTTTAGGTCTCACTCTTGACATATAATTATTTTTAACAAACTTTGCTAAGAATTTTTTTAAAAATATTTTTTATAATTTATAAATAGTATGAATATTTTTTTGATCTTATTCAAATTATCAAAATTAGAATTAATTTTATTATAACTTCAATGGTTTTATTGATATATAAAATCAGTTAAATTAAAATAGTTTAAAAAAATATTTTAATTTGATTTATACAATAATTTGTAGTGTATTCTAACAAAGTCAAGAACTAATTCCA